TTTATTATAAAATAAAACGAAGATACAGAAAACCACGCAAAGCAAAAGTGTCTTAATGATTGATTTAAAAGTGAACAGAACTTAGCCCGTCCCTGTGGCCTCATCCCAACCACAGCCTCTTTCTCCCCAGCTAGGTTAGCAGCACCCTGATTTTTACAGGAACCACTGCGGTGGACATTTTCAAAACACCGTTTTAACGGTCAAATGCATCCCCGGACGGTCCAGTTTTCGTCTTGCTCACTTGAAAACGTTCTGCATGTCTCTCAGATGCCCTTCCGTGTTCGTCGTCTCCTTACAGTTGCTCTGTGGGATCAGTAGATTCGCCGCTGGCCTGGACAGTCCCAGAGGGAGGATTTTGCGGTGGCACAGCCGTCGCGAGCTCCCCATGCTGGCTTCTGCATTCCTGCAGCTGGACCCAGAGGCTAAATCGGACTCGGGTTTGATCTGTTCAGCTCAACTAAGTGCTTTGTTTCTGAACAACTGGAATGAAGTATTAATAAGTTCCCAGCCCCCCGCCTGTCTGCCCACCCACTGCGTCCCTGTTGCACCCTGTCCTGGGGTGCCAGTCACCATGCCCCCCACGCCCCCATTGGCTCTAAAAGCTCGCAAAGCTAATCGGTTCCTCCGACTTGGACAAGAGTGACTCACTTCCTTAGGCAGAAGCTCACTGGCTCATTGAATTTGGAGTTTCCCATCCAGTCTATTCACTGACACTTTACCTACAAAGTGAAAAGAGCGTGATTCTCATTTTTCACTCAGGTACCCCAACCTCTTCCCCATTTGTTTCCCAAATACAACTTTCAGTCACATTGAAGGAAAAACATTTACTTGAAAGTTTAAAACTGCTCCAGTGACCTCATTTACAATTCTGACATGCAGGTTGAGATCACCTTTTTTTTTTTTTTTTTTTTTGAGACAGAGTCTTGCTCTGTTGCCAGGCACCAGGCTGGAGTGCAGTGGTGCGACCTCAGCTCACTGCAACCTCCACTTCCCAGGTTCAAGCAATTCTCCTGCCTCAGCCTCCCCAGTAGCTGGGACCACAGGTGTGTACCACCATGCCCAGCTAATCTTTGTATTCTTTGGTAGAGACGGGGTTTCACCATGGTCTCGATCTCTTAACCTTGTGATCCACCTGCCTCGGCCTCCCAAAGTGCTGGGATTACAGGATTGAGCCACCGCGCCCGGCCGAGATCACCTTTTAACTTCTGAATGTACTTTTGGCCCAGGGACATTGAAAACATCACAGTTATTACCCATTACTGTCACTGTCGTATCCTATGATCCAGCTGATCAGAAATGAAGTTTGATCAGGTTAGTGGATAGCTTTGAACTGCCATCCTAATAATTTACAGACTTACGGAGCATTGTTTTTTGGAGAATTAAAAGTACCTTGTCAATTTACTTTTCTGGAGGTGAAATAGCAGATCCTAATGTTCAGAGCAGACGGAGCCAGGCAGCCAGTTCTGCCTGCCATAGCACTGACCTCAGAATGATAACAGTGACTTCAGTTAAAGACATTCTACGTGTGTAAGAGCAGGGGCGGGCACGGTGGCTCGGCGTGATGACACTGAGGGCGGGCACGGTGGCTCGGCATGATGACACTGCATCGGCCTGGGCGCTTCCCTCCCCCTGACCCTAGCAGCCCATCACCAGAACCTTCCCTCCGCCCACTCGTCTCCATATCCTCTCACACTCTCATAGTTCAAACCGCTATTTCTCACCTTTGCCGCAGCCTCCTAACTGGTCCCTGGGCTACATTTTTGGCTTCTCAGAATCTGTTTCTCACACAGCAGTCTGAGTGACCTATTTAGGTGGAGTTTAGACAGTGTCCAATCTCTCATTGCTGCAGGTAAAACCCAAGCTCCTCCCCACAGCAACAGAACTGTGCTCCACTCTCGCCCTCCTCCTTGTCCTCGTGGCTTTCTGCTCCCCAGGATGCTCCCTCTGCACCTGCTGCCTTGGTCTCCCCTGGTGCCCCAGAGCACTCCAGGCCTTATCAGCACAGGCCTTACAACACCCTTCCCACTCCCCTGGCCATGCTAACCAGCAGGTCTCCGCGAGGCCTTCCTGGACCACGTCCCCTTAACCACCCAAATGCCTAGTAGTAGAAACCTATTGCTTTCTTCCCCTTAAAATTACTTACCATAATTATTTTGAACTGTCTCAAAATATGCATAATGTAAAATTTACCAGCTTAATCACTTTTTTTTTTTGAGACGAAGTTTCGCTCTTGTTACCCAGGCTGGAGTGCAATGGCACGATCTCGGCTCACCGCAACCTCCGCCTCCTGGGTTCAGGCAATTCTCCCGCCTCAAGCCTCCTGAGTAGCTGGGATTACAGGCACGCGCCACCAGGCCCAGCTTTTTTTTGTATTTTTAGTATAGACGGGGTTTCACCATGTTGACCAGGATGGTCTCGATCTGTTGACCTTGTGATCCACCCGCCTCGGCCTCCCAAAGCACTGGGATTACAGGCTTGAGCCCAGCTTAATCACTTTTAAGTGAACTGTTCTGTGTGTTACATTGTGCGACTGAAACAGACCCAGCAGTCCTATCGACAGGGTTTGTTGTTTGTTTGCTTGGTTGGTTTTGCTTTTGATAAACATAGAAACAGATCCTTGGGTCTTAAAGCTTAAAAGTTACATTTGTTTCACCTGAGTTTCTTCCTCAGGAAAGGACTCCCAGGTCTCTCAAAAAGTATCAAAGAACTGAAACTCACCAGATTACCACATCCAGACAATAAGACCCAGGCTGCTCATTCACCATGATTGCTCCTTTACCCCTTCCAAGTTCCTGTTTTCCCAGACATGGTTACATTTCTTCCCTGCTATGTAAAGCCCTATTCTTGATCAGGGAAATGGATTTCAGACTGAGCTCCCATCTCCTCAGCTGCAGCACCGGATTAAAGCTTCTTCCTGGCAATACTCGTTGTCTCAGTGGTTGGCTTTCTGTATGGCAAGCAGCAGGACCTAGACCAACCCCTCAGCATTTGGTAACTTTTTTGACTTCCCTAACTGAAATTCTACCCATTAAACACTAACTCCCTACTCCCCCTTAGCCCAACCCTCTGGTAACCACCATTCTACTTTCTGTCTCTATGGATGCAACTACTCAAGGAACCTCACGTAAGAGGAAGCAAATGATAGTTGTTCATTTGAACTGGGTGCAGTGGCTCATGCCTATAAACCCAGAGCTTTGGGAGGCCAAGGCAGATGGATTGCTTGAGGTCAGGAGTTCAACACCAGCCTGGCCAACATGGCAAAACTCCATCTCTGCAAAAAATACAAATTACTTGGATGTGATGGTGTGTGCCTGTGGTCCCAGCTATTCGGGAGGTTGAGGTGGGAGGACTGCTTGAGCCTGGGAGGTGGAGGTTGCAGTAAGCCAAGATCATGCCACTGCATTCCAGCCTGGGCAACAAAGTGAGACTGTCTCAAAAAAAAAAAAAAGTTGCTCATGTATAACTGGCTTACTTCATTTAGCATAATTTCTTCAATATCATCAGGTTGTGGTATGTATCAGAATTTCCTTCCTTTTCAAGGCTGAATAATATTCCATTGTATTTATAGATCACATTTTGTTTATCCATTTATCCATTGGTAGACACTTAGGAGGCTTCCGTTTTTTCGCTATTGTGAAAATGTTGTTATAAATGTGGATATACAAATATCTGTTTGAATCTCTGCTTTTAATTCTTTTATGTTTACACCCAGAAGTGGGATTGCTGAGTCATACAATAATTCTATGTTTAATTTTTTTAGGAAGCCCCATACTGTTTCCCACAATGGCTGCATCATTTTATATTCCCACCAGCAGTGCAGAGGGTTCCAGTTTCTCCAAATCCTGACCAACACTTATTTTCTGTTTTTCTTTTTGTTGTTGTTGTCTAAAATAACAGCTACCCTAATGGGTATGAAGTAGAGTCTCATTGTAGTTTTGACTTGTAGTTTTCTGATACAAATCAAATGTTCCATTAATGTTAAACATCTTTTCATGTGCTTATAGGCCATTGGAATGTTTTTGGAGAAATGTCTATTCAAGCTAATTGCATATGCTTTTTTGTTGTTGGGTTGTAAGAGTTCTTCGCATATTCTGAACATTAGCTCTTTATCAGATACACGATTTGCAAATATTGTCTTCTATTACATGGGTTGGCTTTTCACTCTGTTGAGAGTGTACTTTGATGCACAGAAGTTTTTAATCTTGGAGAAGTCCAGTTTATCTATTTTTTTCTTCTATTGCTTGTTCTTTTTGTGTCATATGCAAAAGTAACTCATAATTTTAAGTTATATATTTATTTGAATGCTTTATTACACACATGCCTGCCATCACAGAACATAAGATCTACAAAGACTGAAACCTCTGTTTTTGTCACCATCATATCCCCCCCACCTTCCCGTGGTTGGTGACAAGTGTTCCATTATATATATTTGCAATTTGATAAATGCATATCTTCTGATGTTTTTAATTTGTCATGTTAAATGATACCTGATAACATATATGAAAAAATATTGATTAATAAAGGTGATTTCTGTCTGATATTTCATTCTCACTCAAAATTCACTCTAAGTTAAGTTAAAGTCAGTTAATTTAAATCAAGTTACATATAAAGTTTCAAGAAGTGGTGGGAAAGAAACGCAGCAGAAACTCTATCAATACCATATTTTCAAGTCATATGAGTTTCTTTCCAAATCTTTACCGACTAAAAAATGAAAAGACTAAAAACACATCTTCCAAGTTTTAGGCATTGTATTTCAGATCTGATGTAACATCATCATATGTTCCTTCATTCTTCATTGGCAGGTATTCAAAAGTGGTACAGACACACTTCTTAGGTCAAGTGAGGGGACAGTTCCGGTGCCCTAGGTTAAGTGATAGCCAAAATCAAATGCTGACTCTTCCTTTCCTCTATGATTTCGTCAACCTTCAGGAGAAAGCTGCCATATTAATCTGTTTCGTCCATCAAACCCACAAGGGATTCTCTCTTCTGTGCTTCTGGGAATTAAAATAGAGGGACTTGTATTGTCAGCTGCAAAACAGCAGGGGGAGCTCATGAGGTTTTTAAGGCAGCTATTACTCGCCACCCCACCCCCTCCAAAAACACTGCGTTAAATATACACTTAACAGAACCAAGGAGAAATTCGAAGGGAAAAGGAAGTGGAAGCGCGCGCGTGCACACACAGCCACACACACGCGCGCGCGAGCGCCTTCTAATGAGAGGTGGAAATGAACACGATCCATTTTATAATAAAGGACTGACAAACTAACACTTAATCCAGACCTCTGAAGCCACCTCTCAGACTATCCTGACCACCCTAAGAGTCCAGTGCACCCCTGGGTGCCCACCCCTGGGGCCCCATCACTGCTCTTGATTCTTCGCCATCTCTTTCTCATGTGTCCAAACTAAATCATTAGACAGCTGGCTTAAAACTACAGTGCTTAAGTTTTCTAAACGTGTTTTTTAAATATTCAGTGAAATTGTTTTGGAGAACAACTTAAATAGTATTTTGTAAGTTAGGTTATAAACCATAGAGTAGTTTAAAAAATATATGAAATATAGACCTTTGTCACTGAGGAGGAAGAATGAGAGGTCCAGGGTCTATATCTTGAGTTTTTAGGGACAGGATAAGAAGTCACTCCCTGTGAGGACAGAGTGGCCTAAGAGGAACAGAAGAGCACTTCTTGTTGGGGAGAAATCACAAGTGACACTGGTACCGCTTGCTGTGCTGTCCTTTGAACCTTAACCTGGGGCACAGGAATCAAAGGTTAGCTTTAACGAGTCATCAACAGCTCTCATTCTGAGGCCTAATGGAAAGGCAAGCTGTGAAGTCCCGGATAACCACACACAGGGACTCGGGCTGCTGATGAGCTTGCCAGGGGTAGGGTGGGATGTGAGATCTTACCTTTGCCCCTCCTCTGTCTACAAGTATGTCTGAATCACAGATGAGCATCTTAGAACACATCTGGAAATAGTTGTCACCTCCCCTGGAGTGGCTCATTTTGGCATCGGGAAAACAGATTTTGGTGAGTGGCCACAATGCCTTACAAAGTGCCTGAAGTTCAGGGTCTTGTCTTGGTTTGTGATCAGTGTCTCCCAAAGAATACAGCTCTCTCCTCACGTCATTTCGGGATGAATATCAAAACTTTAAATAAAATATTGTGAGTGTTAACCGTAAAGGGACAATGAGAGGTGGAATTGTGAAAGACCTAGGACAGACGTGTGACTGTGTCGAACTATGCTACTAGCTGTTTTATGCCATTGACTCTTCTTTGTCTGGACACTTCAATTCAGGTGTAATAAGAGGAATCTCAGAACTAGATTCAAATTTGTATGTGTTACTTAAAATATTAAAATGATCAGAAACTCCAAATTATAGTGATCTTGAAGAATTTAGAACAACCCAAGAAGTCAACGCAGCTGGCGGATGACTTCATATCAATATACTGGGCCAAAAATTAAATATTGTGTATTCCTTTTTCTAGAATGTTGATCTGACTAAGTGTTACGGTGAGTTAGTAGAGCTAAGTCATGCCAACTTGCTGGGAACTTATTTCCTCTTCACTAAAATGAGGGGTTTAAATTAGATGATCCTTAGTTTTCTTCTAAGAGCTAACACTTACAACTCTGGCCAGGTGCAGCGGCTCAAGCCTGTAATCCCAGCACTTTGGGAGGCAGAGGTGGGCAGATCACTTGAGCCTAGGAGTTCAAGACCAGCCTGGGCAACATGGCTAAACCCCATCTCTACAAAAACCGTAAAACTTAGCTGGGTATGGTAGCTTGCACCTGTAGTCCCAGCTACTTGGGAGGCTGAGGCAGGAGGATCACTTGTGCCCAGGAGGTCGAGGCTGCAGTGAGCTATACTGGCACCACTGCACTCCAGCCTGGGCGGCAAAGTGAGACTTGTCTCAAAAAAAAAGAAATGAGAAAGGGAAAAGAACTGTGGCAACGCAAGCATCCACCCAGCAGTTCTATTTAACCACGTGAAACATGAAGGATCTACGTGCTTAAGGGGCCTAGATTTTTGCCTAATTTTAGAACTAGATGGCTCATACCAGTATATGGTTAAGTCCTTCAAAGAACTATGAAGGGAGAGCTGATGGAATTTGAAATGTCCCTTGGTGATAGAAACTTACTTGACAACAACATAAAGTCTTAATAAAACAAGCAGTAAATTCTCTGTCTTTTTTTCCTTTTATTTTTTTAAAGATGGGGTTTCACCATGATGATCAGGCTGGTCTTGAACTCCTGACCTCAGGTGATCCACCCACCTTGGCCTCCTGAAGTGCTAGGATTATAGGCAGGAGCCACCCCACCCAGCCAACAAGCAGTAAATTCACAGGAAGGAAGGGTAGCCCTAAGATTGCTAAGTCTAGTAAGTTGGATGGCTGTCTCCTCCTAGCATATAGGTCAGTAACATAAACAGTATCCGACAAAGATGGCTTCTGTTAGGCTCGTCTCATGTGCTAGAAGTCCTTGTTATGGACCACACCAACCACCAGCTGAATAACAAACCCGACGGCAATCCTAGCTATTCATTCCCACACAACACAGGTATAAGGGCTGTGCAGAATGATTCTCCAGTGCTCAGGATTCTCATGCAAGAATGTGCTAACTGTTCCCTTGTCACTGTGGAATGAGGTTCAGGAAAGGACTCACAGGTTCAAAGCTGTCGGCCTCCGGAAGAGCACAGAGGGCTCTCCGTACTCACTCTCTCCCTTTGGGAGGGATGGATCAGGACACTGCCGTTCACTCTGGCCCCCAAGGGCAGGCATTTTCTCATTCACTTAAGAATGGATGAAATATTTATTCTGCTGAGGTAAAAGGCCTTGAGGTAAGTTATGTCTAACTGGGTGTTCAGTGATGATGAATGTTGAGACGCTGGGTCTGCTAAGAAATGAAACGACCAACCGGAATACCCTGGCCCTTTAGACCGCCCATTTTCAAGAGATTCTGAAGGACACATGGACGAGATGGTGAAACACAGCAAGTGAGCACTTCTAAAAAGCGGAAGATTCAACCCTAACTCCCAACGCAGAGCTTGTGCCAGCTAAACCGGACTGATGGACTCTCCTTTCACCAAGTTTGGGCAGTTGAACAGCGAAACCAAAGCAGATCGGGGGGACCGTTCAGCCTGTTTTCCCAGAGCTCAGGCCCAGGCCTCAGGTCTATTCCAATGTAAGAGGCCGGAGCGCATGGGGCCATTTCTGAAGAACCACGAGAGAGGCTGGACTGCAGAACTGCTGTGCATGGTTGTACAGCTGTACAACCACGTATCCCCTAGTCCACACCAGTGAACCGGGACTGGGGAATATGTGTGGCCGGACGCTGCTGTTCGTTATGAGATGCGTGTTTCCACACTCCAGGTCTTGCCTGATATAACAGCTTTACAGAGTGTCGAAGTCAGTGGTGATCACCTCCTAAAAGCTCATTAGATATCCATTGTCAGTCTGTCTATGCCTGATTGTTTTCTTACTGATTTTTGCCTTCTGGCTGAGGAAGCGACCAGGAGGTTAAGAGTAGGACCTCACTGACACTGCGTGCTCTGCTATGATGGGAATTTGAAGAACCTTAGCGTACTTCTCACAAATGCCACATACGCTTATTTCTGCATATAGTAAAGGATGTTTTCATTTAACAACATTTTGTCACTAATCTTTATGTTACTTTATCATTACTCATCATTACTTAAATATATGATCAATGAGAACATGTAGAAGATACATACAAGTGCAAAGAAAAAAAATCCCCAAATTTTATCAAAATCAACTGCTGACCTTTCCATGTACCATGTTCACTCTGCTCTACCCCTGTGTGTACACGTGTGTGCCTGAATGTATGATATGTTTACAAAATCGGGGTTGTATTTTCATCCCAGTAGGCCAGTTATGGAGACGAGGAGAATGGAAGTAAAGATTCCTTAAGAACTGCAGTGATCTTGGGAGTGATCCTGGTGAGACATAAAAGGGTGTGTGACCAGGCAGGAAGCAAAGAGGTTTCAGCTGCACCTGTCAAGTTTGATTTCTTAGAAAGAAAAGAGCTAAAGCAAATTTGGCAAAATGCTGTCGTCACTGAATCTAGGTAATAGGTGAATGAGCACCTGCTGTATCATGCTGTATATTTTCCTGTACATTTGAAATATTTTCTAATTCCCAAAAGTAGGAAAGGCTAGTGTTGCTGCTCTGACAGCAGGTGTTCCCTTCACAGCAGTTTCACCATTTCTGTGCTCTCTTTGCCACAGTCTCTCTGGGAGTGCAGAGGCTTCTGTGTTTTCACAAATTTCTCTTCGCAAAGCTCAAGCACATCCAACAGAGATGTCTCATCACAAAGACTGGATAACCCTGTCCTGAAAAGACAGGGAGAATCATTTCAGCAAGCCCCCTTCCTTCCTCAGTAATATAAAACGTTGACTGTCCTGAGTGCCAGACCCTCGCAGAGCATCCAGCATGACTGTGGAAGACTAGTAAGCATTGGACACGAAATGGTGAGACGAGCACTTGAAGCTGCATTCCTCTTTCCGTTACTATCCCAAGATCATCAATCTTTTGAAGGCTGCAAGACTTTTTTTTAACGGTTCAGAGGTGACAGGTGTAAATCCATGCCTTCTGGTGCCTGATGCCTGAAGGGCTTGTTTGAGCTGGAATGTCCTGGACACTGGAAACGCCACTGTGGCCAGAGCTCACCCCCCGCGTATCACACGCCATGTGCTCTTCCTGAGCTTCCCGAGCTGGGGTGCTCGTTAACAAGAGTATCTGCACTGTGGTCAAGACTAGTTACGTTTTTCAGATTCTGGTGATGGCCCCAAATTCTTGGAGGGCTTTGGCAACTCAGCCTACGGAATTTGTCCTCCTGGAAAATTGCTGAAATACACCAAAATACACAAAAAACCCATTCTTAAAATTTCATCACATAAAAGGATGTCTAGAACGAGATTTTAAAACTCAGTTGTGTAGATTTCCATGTGGGCAGTGGAGCCTACCTTTTCAAACTTTCAGGTGGTACCAAAATTTTCATTAGCATCTTCCTTGGGTACTCGAGAGATTCACTGCTGCTAGAACGTAACAATTGCAAGACTCCATGTAATACAGCAGGGTTTTATTTGATGGACCAGAAGAAAAAAGGAAAAAAGTTACAAAGAAAATCTTGAAATTCCAAAAGACGTGACAGTCAGCAGTGGAACACGCTATCAGAACTGTTGAAGGACACTGAACAGTTGGTCTAAACAGTCTTTGTGGTTTTTTCAATAAAAGCAGAAGTGAGGAATTTGGTTCCCATTAATTAAGTCTATTTATTGAGCCAACACAAAGTGTCACTTCTTTTCCCATTCAAGGAAAAGCTGACCTTCTAGTACAGAAGAGAATGGCCAGTGAGTGAGCAGAGCTGATACTGTGTGAGGAGCCTCCACGGGATAAGGTGAGGCCCAGCCCCGACCTGGAAACACGGAGACTGGAGAATTAGACAGCGTTCCCGTCCCTGGACCCACAGCCTCAAGTGAGTGTACAGCCTGAGAATGAGGGACAGACAGCAACCTCCCAGCCAGCTTTTTTTTTTTTTTTGAGATGGAGTCTCCCTCTGTCGTCTAGGTTGGAGTGCAACGGCACGATCTCAGCTCAGTGCAACCTCCACCTCCCAGGTTCAAGCGATTCTCCTGCCTCAGCCTCCTGAGTAGCTGAGACTACAGGCCCCCATCACCATGCCCAGCTAATTTTTGTATTTTTAGTAGAGACAGGGTTTCACCATGTTGGCCAGGCTGATCTTGAGCTCCTGACCTTGTGATCCACCCGCCTTGGCCTCCCAAAGTGCTGGGATTACAGGAGTGAGCCACCGCACCCGGCCCCAGCCAGCTTTTAAAAAGAAAAAAAAGCAACCCTCCTCCATTCCTCTCCAGCATCTTTTCAGAAGACTAGGAAAAAATAGCCTCAGGCACTGAGTATGGGTGGGCAGGTGCGGGGCCTGGTGCTGTCACTGACGGGTGGCCCCGCAGGGTTAAAGGGGAGATGGCCCAGCTCCTCCAGGACCCGGGAGACCTGACACAGGCACACCCAAGTGCACTGGATAAAGAGGCTCCAAAAGCACGGTAGCCCCTAATGAGTTATTTTTGCGCTTGGATGAACGAAGGGCTGCTTCAGGAGGCTAGACGAAAACCTGCCCCGCTTTTGTGTGGAGAAACCGCAGGCACTTTCCATCCTTTTCTTGGTAGGGGGCTTCTAAAAAGAAGGCCTTTTGGAGTCTTCACGAGCGATGTGGATTTTAAGGGCGACCTTGGGTCATACAGAACGAATCAAGCGAAAACAATAAGAAAATGAGCCTGACAGTCAGCAAGAATCTGAGGACTTTATGAAAAAGAATTAGAAATGGACAAATTCCCTGGGCGCTGCGCAGGATCAAATCTGCAAGGTGGCATTGTGTGGCTGGGATTAGATTATTTATTCATTGTTAATTTATTTATTTATGTATGTGCAAATGACCTGGCTGCTGCAGATGCTAAAGGGCCTCTGAAAAGGCCGGGATTTTTAGATCCAGGCCCAGAATATTGGTCCATTTAACTCATTCTTTCCTTAAGGCGATCAGCACTGACTTTTATCTAGGGAGACAGAGGAGGAAAAACCATATGTGTTCAGGGAACGATGCCGGACTCAAGCAGCTCTAAGGACCCAAGTATTTCAGCTTCGTTCAAGATTCTGGGGAAGACTCCATGAAGTTTAATATCCAACAAATCAGCAAATGAATGCTTATGTCAATATGTGAAAAATCCCTGGTTGGTTTAAACAGATAAAAAGCCTCTGGGGAAACCCCAGAAAATGCAGGCTCCTTTTCTTTCTCTTTTTAGTCAATTTAATTTAATTTTTAAAAGAAGGCACGGCACTTTCAGAATTCTAAGAAAACCCACAAAAGTTACACAAAATAAAAAGGTCTAATGGATCCTTGATCTTGTACATCCTTAAATAGTCTCAATGTGACTCACTAGAAGAAATGAGGTGATTGAATCAGCCGTTCTCCGTATCATGTTCACTATTCAGTCGTGCCCTGCCCAAACCGAAAAGCAGAGAAGCCATCTTCACCTCTGACACACGCCTAAGGAGTCAGAAACGAATACTTACTCTGTAGGTCAGACAACATGGTTTGTAGAGGGAACCTGAGGGGGAAATCAATAGTGATCTTATTTTCTCTAGGTTTAGGGAAATAATGATGAACAAATATGGTCATCCTATGTTTCTGCTGACCCAGCACAGTGGGGATGCTGTGTAGGACATGACCTGTGGGGGAAGAGAACACAAGAACTCAGCGTGGGGGATTCAGACAAGAAGTCACACGTATTGAAGCCGGTAAATTCTTCCTGAGGAGAAAGACCCACTTACTCTGCAAAAGAGATACATGACAGCTGACAGTTCCTGGAGGAAAACCTTTGTACTCAATTGGTAAGGGGCGCTAAGCAAGTGATATGACTTGGGAAACAATGCGTTTGGGTTCATAATATATGGCTGCCTCTCAAGGTGAATTGAGACCTCTCTTGAATTACAAAGAGGTAAGCTTTTTCCAAAAGGGGAGAAAGTAAAAGTGTGAAAAAAGAAAAGAAAAACCAAGGGAAACCCCTTCAAATACAACAGCAAGATCTTTCACATACTCTGTTCTTGGTCCTTAAAATAATTAGCAGCCAAGTGCTAGATAAAGGATTAAGTTCTAAGGTGAAAAGGGAAACATAAAGGGCTTTTCTGTGCTGCTGAACATTATTCTCCACTATTTTCAAAGTGGATATTTTGACACCAAATACCAAGCTACCCACAGAACATAACCTTCCGAGTAATTTCTCTGCTCAGACACTGCCTTGGACTTACCTGAGAGGGAAAGGGTCGTCGGTCTGAAATCAACAGCAGCGGGAAGCAAAGCTTCATCACATTATGAATTCTTCAGGTCGTTCTTTGGCTTTTAAATCCCACAATCAATCTTCCTGTGTTAAAGTTTTATTTGGTTTGAGGCACATTGCAATGTAGTGATAGATGCCTGCTTGGAACAGGAATTTAAAAATCACTTGCTCCTAGTTAGGTTTTTATTTGTAATACGGATGGCGCTGCTTGAAATACTAACACCCCTCATTTAAGTTTTTCCCCATAAAGAGGATGAGCCTTCTTTCCCATTATGCCTAATGAATGAGCTTTTCATTTTAATACTGTGACAGAGTGAATAGAAGGAGTAAAAGGAAAGGTGTACCCCAACGTACTCTACAAAAACGACTCCTGAGAAACACCGCGGTTTGTTACTCACGGTGGCACAACTTGTCATTTCTTCTTTCTGTTGTTGCTTCATTTCATTGCACTTCACAGAGGCCGAGTTTTTTCTTGTTTTCTTTTCTAGTGTTTCTTTGTTATTTCTTCAGCTTTTATTTTAAGCTCCTACTCACTTCCAAATTTTTTTACGGAGTACAAATCAATGCCCCAATGTCAAAGTACATGTACCCCAAAGAACTTGCTCTTTAACCAGAACACTTTCACATTCGGGCCTTCACCTGTACTCTGGAAAAACCTGGCAAATGAGCAGTTTCTGAGGGAAGAACAGGTGCACCTTTATCACTTTGTTAGTCTCTTGTCATCTGTGAAGTTTGATTTATTGGAAACTACCAAGAAAGAAATTAGCAGAAATCATCACAGCAAGACTCTTAAAGGAATAGATTGTATTTAGAAAGGAATTAACTGGAAAAAAAAATTGCAAAATCTTTAACTGCCAATTTTCTACTTAATTTTCACCATCAATACCCATTTCACAAATGCTGGTTCTGAGCTTGAAATGTCAAAATAATCAATCAAAAATCAACATCCCCAAGTACTGAATTTTATCATCAAAATCCTTGGTTTTTTATTGAGTGTTGGGAGATGTTTTTGTGGATAACTGTCATGCAGAGCACAGGCAGATGCTCTGGTTCAGCGAGGGCCTCGTGGACAGGGCGCTGCTCCTTAGCTGTGGGGGTTCAGAGCTGGCAGAGAAATTCAAAAGTTATCTTTTATAAGCCCGAATATCATACAAAGCAATTAAAGCAAAATGCATCTGTATTTTACCACACTACCCTTTTCAAGTCAGGCACAGGTATTCGCTCTCTTTTCATGAAAGCAGTAAGCAACAGCGACAGGTATTGGTGCCTTAGAATATTCTAGGCATTGTGCAAAGCAATTACCACAGCACGTCTCCCTTCAGACTCAAAATAACCTGTGAGATAGCTATGATTATTTCCATTTTCCAGAAGAGGAAGCTAGCCACCCAGAAGGCTAAGTAGCCCTTCCCAGATCGGATAATAGTGAATGGCAGAGCTGGGATTTGAACTTGTGCCAGTCTAATTGCAGAGCTCGAGCTCTTAGACACTATGTGTCTGCCTCTTTTAAGCATCATTCACTTCTGCTTCTTGCTTTTAAATACGTAAAAATGATTTGATTTTATATTGCAAAATGGCTTCTAATTAGCTCGACCTCAGCATTAACAGGCCATACAAGTGTACTTTCTGTAGGGTGGCTTGATTTGTCCCTGGAGACGTTGACGCGACTCTGTGAGGGTTTGGGGGGCTACTTCCCCCTCTCCTCCAGAAGCTGCGGTCCTTTCCTAACGGCAAGTCTGCCCACCAGCCCCCAGCTTCCTCTCTCACAACTCCCATCAGCCCAGACCCACCATTTTCTTTTCTCTGCCTTTTTCTGCTTTATTAGCTCTTCTCTCACCTAGTGCTTAATACTGCCTGCTAATAACAGTACACATTGCTATACGGCACGTCTGTGTACTCGGCACGTCTGTGTACTCGGCGCTTCTGTGTACTCGGCACTTCTGTGTACACGGCACGTCTGTGTACTCGACACGTCTGTGTACTCGGCGCTTCTGTGTACTCGGCACGTCTGTGTACTCGGCACGTCCGTGTACTCGGCACTTCTGTGTACTCGGCACTTCCGTGTACTCGGCACGTCTGTGTACTCGGCACGTCTGTGTACTCGGCACTTCTGTGTACTCGGCACGTCTGTGTACTCGGCACGTCTGTGTACTCGGCACGTCTGTGTACTCGGCGCTTCTGTGTACACGGCACGTCTGTGTACTCGGCACATCTGTGTACACTGCACTTCCGTGTACTCGGCACGTCTGTGTACTCGGCACTTCTGTGTACTCGGCACTTCTGTGTACTCGGCACTTCTGTGTACTCGGCACGTCTGTGTACTCGGCACGTCCGTGTACTCGACACGTCTGTGTACTCGGCGCTTCCGTGTACTCGGCACGTCTGTGTACTCGGCACGTCTGTGTACTCGGCACTTCTGTGTACTCGGCACGTCTGTGTACTCGACACGTCTGTGTACTCGGCGCTTCTGTGTACTCGGCACGTCTGTGTACTCGGCACGTCTGTGTACTCGGCACGTCTGTGTACACGGCACTTCCGTGTACTCGGCACGTCTGTGTACTCGGCACGTCTGTGTACTCGGCACTTCTGTGTACTCGGCACGTCTGTGTACTCGACACGTCTGTGTACTCGGCGCTTCTGTGTACTCGGCACGTCTGTGTACTCGGCACGTCTGTGTACTCGGCACGTCTGTGTACACGGCACTTCCGTGTACTCGGCACGTCTGTGTACTCGGCACTTCCGTGTACATGGCACTTCCGTGTACTCGGCACGTCTGTGTACACGGCACTTCCGTGTACTCGGCACGTCTGTGTACTCGGCACTTCCGTGTACATGGCACTTCCGTGTACTCGGCACGTCTGTGTACTCGGCACGTCTGTGTACTCGGCACTTCCGTGTACTCGGCACGTCTGTGTACTCGGCACGTCTGTGTACTCGGCACGTCTGTGTACTCGGCACGTCTGTGTACACGGCACTTCCGTGTACTCGGCACGTCTGTGTACTCGGCACTTCCGTGTACATGGCACTTCCGTGTACTCGGCACGTCTGTGTACTCGGCACGTCTGTGTACTCGGCACGTCTGTGTACTCGGCACGTCTGTGTACACGGCACTTCCGTGTACTCGGCACGTCTGTGTACTCGGCACTTCTGTGTACATGGCACTTCCGTGTACTCGGCACGTCTGTGTACTCGGCACGTCTGTGTACTCGGCACTTCCGTGTACTCGGCACGTCTGTGTACTCGGCACGTCTGTGTACTCGGCACGTCTGTGTACTCGGCACTTCCGTGTACTCGGCACGTCTGTGTACTCGGCACGTCTGTGTACTCGGCACGTCTGTGTACACGGCACTTCCGTGTACTCGGCACGTCTGTGGACTCGGCACTTCCGTGTACATGGCACTTCCGTGTACTCGGCACGTCTGTGTACTCGGCACGTCTGTGTACTCGGCACGTCCGTGTACTCGGCACGTCCGTGTACACGGCGCTTCCGTGTACTCGGCACGTCTGTGTACTCGGCACGTCTGTGTACTCGGCACGTCTGTGTACTCGGCACGTCTGTGTACACGGCGCTTCCGTGTACTCGGCACGTCTGTGTACTCGGCGCTTCCGTGTACTCGGCACGTCTGTGTACTCGGCACGTCTGTGTACTCGGCACGTCTGTGTACTCGGCACGTCTGTGTACTCGGCACGTCTGTGTACTCGGCACTTCTGTGTACTCGGCACGTCTGTGTACTCGGCACTTCCGTGTACATGGCACTTCCGTGTACTCGGCACGTCTGTGTACTCGGCACGTCTGTGTACTCGGCACGTCTGTGTACTCGGCACGTCTGTGTACACGGCGCTTCCGTGTACTCGGCACGTCTGTGTACTCGGCGCTTCTGTGTACTCGGCACGTCTGTGTACTCGGCACGTCTGTGTACTCGGCGCTTCTGTGTACACGGCACGTCTGTGTACTCGGCACGTCTGTGTACACTGCACTTCCGTGTACTCGGCACGTCTGTGTACTCGGCACTTCTGTGTACTCGGCACGTCTGTGTACTCGGCACTTCTGTGTACTCGGCACGTCTGTGTACTCGGCACGTCTGTGTACACGGCACTTCTGTGTACTCGGCACTTCTGTGTACTCGGCACTTCTGTGTACTCGGCACGTCTGTGTACTCGGCACGTCTGTGTACACGGCACTTCTGTGTACTCGGCACGTCTGTGTACTCGGCACTTCTGTGTACACGGCACGTCTGTGTACACTGCACTTCCGTGTACTCGGCACGTCTGTGTACTCGGCACTTCTGTGTACACGGCACGTCTGTGTACTCGTCACGTCCGTGTACTCGGCACGTCTGTGTACTCGGCACTTCTGTGTACTCGGCACTTCTGTGTACACGGCACGTCTGTGTACACTGCACTTCCGTGTACTCGGCACGTCTGTGTACTCGGCACTTCTGTGTACACGGCACGTCTGTGTACTCGGCACGTCCGTGTACTCGGCACTTCCGTGTACTCGGCACGTCTGTGTACTCGACACGTCTGTGTACTCGACACGTCTGTGTACTCGACACGTCTGTGTACTCGGCACGTCTGTGTACACGGCACTTCTGTGTACTCGGCACTTCTGTGTACTCGACACGTCTGTGTACTCGGCACGTCTGTGTACACGGCACTTCTGTGTACTCGGCACGTCCGTGTACACGGCACGTCTGTGTACACGGCACTTCCGTGTACACGGCACGTCTGTGTACACGGCACTTCCGTGTACTCGGCACGTCTGTGTACACGGCACGTCTGTGTACTGTGTACTCGGCACTTCCGTGTACACGGCACTTCTATGTACACGGCACGTCTGTGTACTCGGCACTGTTCTGAAGGATTTACATGTACGAAGTAGCTGTAGCCTCATAACAACCCTACTGGGGAGGTACAGTCATTGATCCTCATTTACAGATATGGAACAGAGACACAGACTGTCACTTAACGAAGGTCACACAACTAGGAGTTGACACGGGTCATTTCTTAACCAGTGTATTGATCGTGTGATGGCACCTTGAATCGTGTGCTTGTGTGCTTACTGTCTGCCTCCTGTTTTTAGTATGTAACAGAAGAGGAATTTCTATCTTGCTCACCAGTGGGTCTGCCTTCTCTACAAGAGGGCCTAACGCACAGTAGGTCCCAATAAATACATGCTGACTGACTGACAGCTTCTCTCCCGTCTTGGCTTATCAAGGGCATTTCCCTGATCCCTGCTGAAATTGTCATCACCCAATCCTATCTTTACTTTCACAGGATGAACTGGTCATTCATGGAGTAGTGTCATCTTCAGGTCTTTTGCTGTCTTCAAGTTTGAAGTTTGGGGCAGCGAGGGCACTCAGAGGTCTCTGAGATGGAAGAAACCTTAGAGACACGCTTCTCTGCCCTGTTCAGAGCCTTACAAAGGTCATCCCTCCCTGCAAACTGCATCCGCTGAGCTCCTGTGCCTCTGGCTTTGAGCTGGATTTGCCAGTGAGAGACAACAGGAAATGGAGGGCCAGGAAGTTCTAACCCTGCTGCTTCTGTGCCTTGGCACCACAATTCTGGTAGAAGCTGCTCCCTCTGTGACTACCAGTTCCGGCTGGGGGATCCCCCTTCCAGCCATTGCTGACCCCTCTTCTGCAGCGCCCTTGGTCTCCTTTGCTCCCTCGCCTCCCAGTGTTGCTCCTGGGTACTTCAAGATCCTTTGTAGCTTCCTCAATCCTGCTCACATCTCTGTAAATACCTCCTTCATCAGATATGCTTCAAAACCCCAGCTGAAAGTTCCTTCTTCCTGGTTAGCGTGGCAATTCCCATCTAATGCAGCAATCCCCTCTGTGACATCCCCAGCCTCTGTTTACCCACTTCCAGCATTCCATGGCATCTACTCCATTCATAGACTGTTCTAGTTATTAACATGTTATTCCTTTTTTGGAGGCAAAAAGGTCTGCTTCCCACGAAATTCTGTTTCTGTCACCTGAAGCACACAGAATAAGCCTCCTCTCTCCTCTACCTGACAGCCCTGTAAATATTTCATCACAGCTGTCAAGGTCTCCCCCAAGTCTGCTCCTCTCCAGGCTCGATGCATTCCACTTATTTTCCACTTTACATTTCTCCATGCTCCCATTTAAGCACCTGAACATGAGGGAGTGAAGAAATGGGAGAATAAATTTGTAATAATTGATAGGTGTGAGTGGTAGGATCGAGAAACCAGGAAGGAAAGAGAACCCCTGTGTCTGGGCTTACCCCTGGGGCTGACTTGTCAGCTTCCCATTATACTTCTTGTATTGTTTTTACTACTTAAACTCATATATTACTTCATCCATTCTCTTTTTGGATTTTTTGTTGTGAAAATAGAATAACGTAAAATGTACCACTTTAGCCATTTTTACATGTACAGTTCAGTGGCCTCAAATACATTCAAAATGCTGTGCGGCCATCACCGTCATCCATTTCCAGACCTTTTACATCAACCCGAGCAGAAACTCTGCCCATTAAACAACAAATTCCCACTCCCTCCTCCCTCAGTCCCTGGTCATCTCTATGAGTTGCCTATTCATGTAAATAGATTCATACAATATTTGTACCTTTGTGTTTGGCTTATTCCATCTAAAATAATGAGTTCACGGTTAACCCATGTTGCATTATGTATCAGAGTATTTTTCATTTTCAAGGCTGAATAATATTCCACTGTATGTGTAAACCACATTTTGCTGATCTGTTCATCTGTTGACAGACACTTGGGTTGTTTCCATCTTTTTAACTATTGTGAATAATGCTGCTATGAACAAACATCTGTTCAAGTCCTTCCTTTCAGTTCTTTTGGATATGTATCCAGAAGTGAAATTGTGAGATCATGTGCTAATTCTATGTTTAACTTTTTGGAGAAACTGCCAACCTGTTTTCCACAGTGTTAATACCGTTTCTCATTCCTACCAGCAATGTACGAGGGTTTCAATCTTTCATATCCTCAACCGATACTTGTTTTTCTGTTTCGTTTTCTTTTGTTTTTAGTTGAGACAAGGTCTCACTCTGTCACCCAGGCTTGAGTGCACTGGTGCAATCTCAGCTCACTGCAGCCTCTGCCTCCTGGGCTTAAGCAATCCTCCCACCTCAGCCTCCCAGCTACAGCTGGGATCACAGGTGCACGCCTCCATGACGGCTAATTTTTTTTAGTTTTGGTGGAAATGGGGTTTCACCATGTTTCCTAGGCTGGTCTCAAACTCCTGAGCTCAAGCGATCTGCCTATCTTGGTCTCCCAAAGTGCTGGAATTATAGGCATGACCCACTAGGCCTGGTCCAATGCTTGCTTTTTTAAAAAACAATGGTCATCCTAACAGGTGTGACCATCCTCTTTAAAATTAAAAAAAAAAAAAAAAAAAAAGGCTGGTCACAATGGCTCATGCCTGTAACCCCAGCACTTTGGGAGGCCAAGGCAGGCAGATCACGAGGTCAAGAGATGGAGACCATCCTGGCCAACATGGTGAAACCCCGTCACTACTAAAAACACAAAAATTAGCTGGGCATGGTGGCGAACGCCTGTAGTCCCAGCTACTTGGAAGACTGAGGCAGGAGAATTGCTTGAACTCGGGGGACGGAGGTTGCAGTGAGCCAAGATAGTGCCACTGTACTATAGCCTGACAACAGAGTGAGACTCTGTCTCAAAAAAAAAAATGAAATATATTTTTTAAAAAGGTTTATTGGGATAACTGACTGACAATAGACAGCAATATTTAACATGTATAAGTTGATACATTTTGACATATGTATGTACCCATGAAGCCATCATCACCATCAACATTATTACTACTGTCTCTATCACCCCAGAAGTTTCCTCAAGTCCCTTCATGCTCCCACCCTGTTACTCCTCCACACTCCCCTTCCCAGGCAACTTCAACCACTTATTAACCCCCTATGCACTTCAGTTCCCCTTGCCTTGACTGCTCACTTCTTCCATCTGTGAAGCTCGATCTCTTGGATCCAGGATGAGGGCAAAATTTATTAGCAGATACATTCAGTAACTTTTACACATACCAAGTTCCCTACTCCCAGCAAGCCAACCGTAAGTACCAAGAACTTATGAAACTTGAGAGCAAGTTGAAAGTTAAACTTGTAGTCGGCCAGGCGCGGTGGCTCACGCCTGTAATCCCAGCACTGTGGGAGGCTGAGGCGGGTGGATCACGAGGTCAAGAGATCTAGACCATCCTGGTCAACATGGTGAAACCCCGTCTCTACTAAAAATACAAAAAATTAGCTGGGCATGGTGGCACATGCCTGTAATCCCAGCTACTCAGGAGGCTGAGGCAGGAGAATTGCCTGAACCCAGAAGGCGGAGGTTGCGGTGAGCCGAGATTGTGCCATTGCACTCCAGCCTGGGTAACAAGAGCGAAACTCCGTCTCAAAAAAAAAAAAAAAAAAAAAAAACTTGCAGTCACTGCTTATACCTCCCTCTTTCCCAAACACATACAAGAAATGAGATTAAATTGCAGTTGCCTTTGAGGTAACAATTATTATTACAACTTTATAGACAAAGGAACAGAGGCTTGAAGAGCTTAGACAACCTGCTCAAAATCTCAAAACTCAACACCAAAAGCACAAACCGTAAAAGAAAACATTGATAAGTTAGACTAGATAAAAATTTAAAACTTCTGTGCCTCAAAGACACCAATGAGCCGGGCACAGTGGCTCGTGCCTGTAATCCCAGCACCTCGGGAGGCCGAGGCAAGTGGATCCTTTCAGCACAGCAGTTCAAGACCAGCCTGGGCAGCATGGTGAGACCCCCCTCTACCAAAAACACCAAATAGCTGGGCGTGGTGGTGCACATTTGTAGTCCCCGCTACTCAGGAGACTGAGGTGGGAGAATTACCTGAGCCCAGAATATCAAGCTGCAATGAGCTGTGATTGTGCCACTGCACTCCAGCCTGGGTGAGAGAATGAGACTCTGTCTCAAAAAAAAAAAAATCACTAAGAACATAAAAAGAAGTCACAGGGCTAGGATAAGATGTGTGCAAATCGTATATATGATAAAAGACTTAAATCTAGAATATGTAGAGAGCATTTACAGTGACCAACACATAGAACGTTCTTGACAAATGACCGAATTTTTTAAATGAGCAAAAGATTTGAACTGACATTTTCCCAAAGGTGAAATATCAATGTCTAATGTACAAAGAAAAGATGCTCAAAAATCGTTATTCATTAGGGAAATGCAAATTAAAACCAGAAGAAGATACCTCTAGACACCCACTAGGCTGGCTATAATGAAAAAGACAGACAATCAAATGTTGTTAAGGAAACAACACTTATGCATTGCTGGTACGATTGTAAAATGGTACAGACACTTTGGAATGTAGTTTGGCAGTTTCTTAAAAACTTAAACATAAACTAATAATACAACTCAGCAATTCCACTTCTAAGAATCTATCAGAAAAATGAAAATCCATGTCCACACAAAGACATGTACACAAAAGTTTATAGCACCCTTATTCATGCTAGTCAAAAACTGGAAACAGTCTAAATAGCTATCCACTGATGAATGAATATGGTACATTACCACAATGGAATACTATTCAGCAACGAAAAGGAATACATTCCTATACATGCAACAACATGGATGAACCTCAAAACCATTAAGTGAAAGAAGCTAGACACAGAATATGAACTGCATGATTGATTTCATTTATAAGAAATATCTAGCAAAAACAAATTCACAGAAGCAGAAGCAAACGGAAATGTTCTAAACTGGATTATGGAGCTGGTTCCATAACTCAACAGATTTGCCAAAATCACTTACAATGGGTAAATTTTATATGTAAATTATACTTCAATAAACCTCCTTGTAAAATTACACAACTGATAAATGGTAGCACAAAACATAAAGAAAAGTTATCTTCAAAGATCTATGATTAATAAACCTACTCAAAGATGTAGGATGCAGAATATATGTTGGTGCTAGAGTTCCTCAGCCTCCCTGAAAATCAACAAGAAGCTTATTTGGGGGGTTGTATTAATCAATCATACTTTAATTAATTCTTTCATTAAAAGCCATTAATTATTTTATAGCGTTTTACTGTGTTTTAGATTTCTCATGGTTTTACTTCAGTCTATAATACTCCCTGAAGACTTTGTTAAACACATACAGTGGGCGTATTTTTGTGATTTTAGTTTAAATTTGCTTTATATGAATTCTTACAGTTGAAAACATTCAAGTATAGAATAAACCATTGGTATGGATATGCTTCTATGACACAAGAACGATCTCGGAGCTTCTCTGAGGATGTCCAAATGACGGCTGACCGTGCTAATTGCATCGATCACATAGCCATACATGCTCTTCCTATAAAATACTGGTTGCTAGTTATGAGGCGTTAAGGCTTCGTGGATACAGATAGAATATTCCACCTAAGCGATCTGGCAGAAGCCACAACATCCACCTTTTGTCTTTCCCCCCCTTCTTAGCTGGGCAGAAAAGCTACTCAGAATAAAGACTACATTTCCCAGCCATCTTTGCAGCTAGGTTTATCCCCCTGACTAAATTCTGCCCATAAGATAAAAGCAGAAGTGTTTGCAAGTGCCCTGCGAATCATGCTTAAAGGGAATCGACTCAGCTAGAAGGAACCCCTTTCCACCCTTTCGCCTTTTCCCCGTCTTCAGGCCACAGCAGCTGTGAGAACCACGATGTGACCACGAAGGCAGGAAACAGCTTTGGAAGGTAGAGAGTCTGGGCAACCCTGGAGCTGCCACATCACCAGCGGCTGCTGCCTCCATTCTTCTCTTATGGACCAGAAAAGCATGCTTCTGTCCCGGTTAAGACATAGGAGCCAAGTTTCTTTTACTCACACAAAACCTCATCCGAAGTGACACAAGGTCTAACAGAAAAAGAATACAATGGAATCCTTTCTCTGAAGAATGAGCAGAGAGAAGAGAGCAAGGAAGTGAAGTTCTTTTTTTTTTTTTTTTTTTTTTATTGACATGGAGTTTTCCCTTTTGTTGCCCAGGCTGGTACAATCTCTACTCACTGCAACCTCCACCTTCTGGGTTCAATTGATTCTCCTGCCTCAGCCTTCCAGCCTCCCAAGTATCTTGGATTACAGGCACGCACCTCCATGTTTGACTAATTTTTTGTATTTAGAAGAGACGGGGTTTCACCATGTTGATCAGGCTGGTCTCAAACTCCTGACCTCAGGTAATCCACCTGCCTCGGCCTCCCAAAGTGCTCGGATTACAGGCTTGAACCACCACACCCAGCCAGAAGTGAGGTTCTACAGCAAGATGTCTGTGAGGCCTCAGCAGAGAGGTCCAATCACACTCAGCAGCCACGGTTAACAACTATACCTCCTATGCTGGAAACCATCTCAGTAATCAGATTCGTAGAACTAAACTTAAGGACTGCTCCCTAGCAATGCAGCAAAAGCCAAACACACACACATATCAAATGTTCACATCCGAAATAGAATTTATACTAGAGAATTATTGTAAAGTGGAAGCTAAGTCCATCAAGCAGTTCCTAAAATGCCAATCTAATCAGAAGAAACTTCTCAGAATTCTCAGACTCTGCAGTTTCCTAAAATCCTTATGGCAATTGTTGACCATATGTGAGATGAATGTATGATCTAGCTTCTCTGTCTTTCTCTAAATTAGTACCACCTGGACTTAGACTCACCAAGACCTGCGTGCTATGCCTCTCAAGTGTTAATGAATACAATACCATAGCTATCTTAGTTCTGTGTGCAGATAAATGGGCAATAATTTTTTGTGTGAGAAAAATGTGGATTTTTAAATTATTATTATCTTATTTTAGGTAGGACCCTGCTCTGTCACCTGAGCTATAGTGCAGAGGTGTGACCGCAGCTCACTGCAGCCTCAACCTCCTGGGCTCAGGTGATCCTCCCACGGCTTCCTGAGTAGCTGGGACTACTGGCATGTGCCGCCATACCTGGTTGTTTTGTTTTACTTTATTTTTGTGGAGATAGCGTCTCCCTATATTCCCCAGGCTTTTCTTCAGCTCTGTTGACCTCAAGTGATTCTCCTGCCTCAGCCTCCCAAAGCGCTGGGATTATAGGCATAAACCACCATCTCCAGCCTAAATGTGAGGACTGTGAGACCTATGATTATGGTTTGCTGGTGGTAGTACAGGGCAGATAATATGTATGCCAGTATCTTCAATGAGGAATTGCTGAAAGCATAGGTGAGTTCACTGGTGGAATACAGTGTGGATTGGTAGTTTGGGCCCTACTGCAGATGTATTGCCGATTTTAGGCTTAGAGATCTAACAAAAGTCCTTAGATTCACACAAACACTACTTCCTGCTCTCACATCATAGGGCCAGCTCTCAAGATGCTGCTGAAGAAGGACAAGAAGCTTACATGATTAACATGGAAGTTTAATGTGGACCTTACTCATTCAATAAAAGATGGAACTTTGGATTCTGGAAATTTTGAACAGTTTCTATAAGGTTAAAATCAATGGAAAAAACTGAAAATCTCACAGATGTTGTTAATATTGAATATTTCAAAAATAAAATCATAGTTGTTTCTGAGAAACAATTTTCTAAAGGGTCCTTAAAATACCTCACCAAGAAATGCCTTAGGGAGAACAATCTTCTTGATTGGCCTCGAGTGGCTGCATTCTGCAGGGAGCCTCAGGGACCTCACTGCGTCCCCATCAGTCACGGTGAAGACAGATGAGTCTGAGGACCAGGTAAAGATTTTTTCCCAGGTCAAATCGAGCATGTGTGACAAAGAAATATCTAGAAACTGGCTTTCAGTTTATCAGTGAATGAAAACACTGTACCTTTAAAAAATTAATTCCTGAAACTAGTCTTCCTGAGAAACCTCACCTTTCTTGAGTCTCAAATTTCTTCCCTGTTCTGGAAAGAAGATGGACAGTATGACCTCTATGGTTCCCGTTAGTGCTAGCTTGCTGAGGATGTGAATTCTCTTCTGGAAGTAACCAGAAAATAAAAATAAATTAAAACAGCGTATACACACTAAGTAAACACACTGTCTTCAGATTTGCTGAGATGGAAATGTTCTGGGAATAAACCGACGTGCTTCAGGAAGTACACAGTGAGTAAACGATTTGGTTACTGAGACAGATGACCTTTCCCTTAGGATTCCAAGTCACTAGTTACTTGTACTACGTTAAAAGTAAACACACGTGTTACTGTGGAAATCAAAGAGGGACTTGGCATATAAGTAGTTGTCCAGTCTCGATACTTTTAATAGACCCTCTTGATACAGATACCCTTGGCTGTCTGGCCTGGCTGAGAGAACCACAGGCCAAGCTTATCCTACCGGGTGGCTAAGTGCAACCCTGTGGGAAATGAAGTGGTCACAAAGTTCTGCTTTGGGCTTGTCTAAACTTCTTCCCTGCGGTTTAACCCAGTGTGTGATCATCCAGGTCAGTCAGCCTAACGTGCCCCGAGGGAGACAACCCAGAGCGGTTTAGAAATTCCGAGGTAGGACTGGAAGCCCCTGGGCCGACAGGCCAAAGGAGTGCTTTACTCTGCATTCTGAGAGCCCAGAGTCCTCCCACAAGGTCCGTGTGAAGTTCCTGGAATCTGAACGTCTCTGAAATCCATTTGGTCCATCAAGAACTACCTGGGCAGTATGACAAAGGTTACATAGTGAGAGGGTTGTATACTGTGACTTACACCAAATAGGCTGTGATTTCCTAGTAACATTGCTCCTTGCTTGTTAAATTATCCCATATTAATGTGTGTGTCAATTTTTTTATTGCTAAAGTCATACAAATTCTGAAATGGGTGACTCTCTAGGAACAGAGACGAGATCACTGATTGCCTGTGGCTGGGGCAGGGGATTGACTATACAGGCTGAGGGAGATGTTCTGGGTCTTGATTTTGACAGTGGTATTCATTTATCAAATCCATTCAACTGTGGACCTAAAAGGGGTGAACTTTATTGTATATAAATTATACTCCATACACCCGAGTTCAATTTTTTTAAATCATATGTCAAAAAACGCAAACCAGATAACTATATCTGATCCAATTCTCTGGGTATTTTAAATACCTTGCATGCATATGAAAACCCTGGCCAGAATCAGCATCTCAGCTGCTAACATAGGTATTAGACCAGAAGGACCCCAGACAAACGACGCCTAACATTTGCAACCAGTGCTGCCATGAAGTCTCACTTAAACAATATTTTACCATCCACTACATGGAATACATTCAGTAGTGAGTAACGTAAGCAATTAGGCCAGAACACTAGATCGTAGTTATCTGGGACTCTAATGTGGAATTAGACCAGCCCAGTGTCTAAAACTCTAACATTTATTACCCTAAAATTGTGTCACATACAAGTTTTGGGATGCATTAATAAAATGCTTGTTTATTTCTTTGATAAATGCTTCAATAGCATTTTCTTATGGTCAATCACTAATAATTTTTTCTACATATAATACTTCAAAACTTTGCAATCTGCCTCAATAGATTTTGCCCCAGGCTTTTGCATGCCAGCACTGCCAAATTCACAAATCTCCACTTATTGACTGGCTTCATTTAACGCTGATCTCAGCCTTCATGCGATATAACATGCTCTAAAAGAATTAGCATAAGATTGCAGCATTTCATTCCTTACACTGAGAAGACAAAGTTTATTGCTAAAATCAAATATCTAAAATTCTTTTCCTACACTAAGAAATACATTTTACAGCTTAACCCAGTATAGATACACACACACACACACACACACGCACACGCGCACACACACACGCACACAGACGATGCAAAAAAACAAAGGTTCCATGAAAAAATACCCTTACTGTATGAGGAGCACTCCGACATTCTATTCTATTTTGTTCTTTCCTAAATGCTGGTGATGACATATTAAATTAATTTTAAGACCTATTAATGGATTCCAGCCCACTATTTGAAAAGCACTGTTTTAGGCCTTCCATATGTTAATATCTCTGCTTGGAATATCATTCACTTTTTCTTCTCCTGGCCAACTCTTAACTGTCTGTCAAGATGCAGCTTAGAGCATCTATCCACCTCCTGCTCCCTGGATTAGTGCTCCTCTGTGTTCCCACAAAACCTCTTCCATACCCGACACTGTGTGACCATCTCCTCACCGTTGTGTTGCCTCCTCTTGGCTGTGAGACCCTAGAGGACAGGGATGGAGTTGTTCATCCGTTTGCCCCACCCCCAGGAGACAGTGCCCAACACAGAGGAGACCTTCAGTGAAGATTGGCTTCACGAGTCATTCATCTGGTCCGGTTTTCACCTGGGCCTTCAATGAAGATTGGCTTCCCGAGCCATTCATCCGGTCCGGTTTTCATCTGGGTAGATTGAGAAGACCTTCAGTGAAGATTGGCTTCACGAGTCATTCATCTGGTCCGGTTTTCATCTGGGTAGACTGAAAAGACCTTCAGTGAAGATTGGCTTCCCGAGCCATTCATCTGGTCCGGTTTTCATCTGGGTAGATTGAGATGGCCAAGATCACGAAGTCTGGCCATCCCCTGAGGGAAGACTCTTACACATTTCAGTAGCACAGCCACCCAGAGGTGTCTAACTTTAGGCAAGAGCGCGTCTCTCACCATTATGGTTTAAAGAAGCACTTTTCAAACTTTTTAATCTAAGAATTCCTTACACTCTTAAAATTAATCAGGACCCCAAACCACACTGATATAAAAACTGAGAAATCCTGAAAACATAAGAGTACACAGCACGCTTTTCAGCCGCCATCACAGCAGTGAGGTCATCACACATCACTTCTGCACACTCCACTCCATGCTTGTCAGAACGAGAGTGAAAAGGCAAATCACATCTTAGAACTATCACAAAGTTTTGACCCCACGGGCCCCCGAAAGGGTCTCAAGGACTCCGAAAAGTCCTCAGACCATACTTTGAGAACCACTGATTTAGAGCATTTAAGCCATAGACACGGTTGCTTATGGAGGCTCAATAGAAAACACCTCTGCTTTTATCACCTGGGTCTGGAACCGGGAGGTAAGTACTGTGTGGGTCAGCTTTATTACTGACAGAGCTCCTGGACAGGATAATATGGCATAATTGCATGATAATAACGATCTTCTGAATATTGTACCCCAAACTTACCACCTAGTCACAGTGCTAAAAGCTGCAGTTCTCCCCCTGGAGGCAGACTCCTGTAAAACTTTTGAGCCAGAAGGGCAGTCCAGAATGCAAGCACCCTGTGGGCAGTGGCTCCCGAGGCAGAGACAAGGGCTGGGCTCTCCCACAATGCAAATCAGAAAAATGTCACCCTTGCCGGGCGTGGTGGCTCACACCTGTAATTCCAGCATTTTGGGAGGCTGAGGTGGGCGGATCACCTGAGGTCAGGAGTTCAAGACCAGCCTGGCTAACATGGGGAAACCCCCATCTCTACTAAAAATACAAAAAATTGGCTGGGCATGGTGGCGCACGGCCTGTAATCCCAGCTACTGGGGAGGCTGTGGCAGGAGAACTGCTTGAACCCAGGAGGCAGAGGTTGCAGTGAGCCATGATCATGCCATTGCACTCCAGCCTAGGCAACAAGAGCAAGACTCCATCTAAAAAAAAAAGAAAAGAAAAGAAAGAAATGTCACTCTTCTTTTCCTGGGAGGAGAAAATGAGGAGGTAGAAGAGAGAAGCCAAGAATGTTATGCTAGTGGGGCTCCCTCAACAAGTAAAAGAATATCAGGAATGGATAATAAGGGCTAGGAGAAATGGCTCATGCCTCTAATTCCAGCACTTTGGAGGGCCGAGGTGGGGGCATCACTTGAGGTCAGGAGTTCGAGACCAGCCTGGCCAACATGGAGAAACCCCATCTCTACTAAAAATACAAAAATCAGCCAGGAATGGTGGTGTGCACCTGTAATCCCAGCTATTCGAGACGTGGTAGCAGGAGAGTCGCTTGAGCCCGGGAGACAGAGGTTGCAATGAGCCAAGATCACAGCACTGCACTCCCGCTTGGGTGACAGAGCCAGACTCCACCTCAAAAAAAAAAAAAAGAGAATCAGTATTACCCCATATGGCACTGAGCAGCAACTCTCTTGTGTTGCCTAAAATTACCTATTATAGCTAAGAGGACCAATTGTACGACATTTTCTTATCAACAACAACAAAAAAAACCTGCATAATTTGTGAACCTCTTTGTCAGAGTGAATAAATGAAACATGGAGGTATTATTTACGCTCACGGAAATGGGTACTACGTTTTAACACAGCAACATTCCCGTATGTTAATGTCTGCTTGGACCATCGTTCACCTTCCTTCTCCCTTCATTCTTGCCTTTACGTGCAAGTGCTATGCTAACACGTTAAATAATTTTCTTTCTTTCTTTCTTTCTTTCTTCTTTTTTGAGCCAGAGTCTCGCTCTGTTGCCAGGCATCAGGCTGGATTGTAGTGGCATGATCTCGGCTCACTGCAACCTCTGCCTCCCGGGTTCAAGCAATTCTCCTGCCTCAGCCTCCCGAATAGCTGGGACTACAGGTGCGCCCAGCTAATTTTTGCATTTTTTAGTAGAGACGGGGTTTCGCCATGTTGGTCAGGATGGTCTCCATCTCCTGACTTCGTGATCCGCCCACCTCCACCTCCTAAAGTGCTGGGATTATAGGTGTGAGCCACTGCGCTCTGCCTAAATAGTTTTCTTAAAAGTCTCAGATACTTGTCATCTGTATTAGGAATAATGTGTCTTCTTAAGATAACTCCAGGTTGAGGAATTTCTACTTATAAGCATCTATTCAACAAAGACAAATCCTGGGATGGGGATGGAAATGACGGTTCATGTCTCAGCAAAGTACCAGTGTATCTACTAAAACTGGGTACCACTTTAACCAATATAAGCACAGCAAAGGTCGGAACTAGGTTGTTTTTCACAGTCAAAAGCACATTCTCCCAAGTTCTCTGTTCCTCAAATACTACATACAAGAGTAAGCAGCATTACACTTAAACAGAATCCCTTGAGCATAGACATTC